AGGTGTAGCACTGAACTCGTATCTCAGATACAGCCTATGTTTTTTAAATCACCTGTGATTCTTTCACACTTGCATAGATTTGCATGAATTGCACAGCTGCTAAGACTCAAATCTGTCATATCTGATCATCACAAGGAATTAACGTTGTTTAAATTTCCAATTAATATGCCAAATCACTCAATGAACATACAGAAAAGTTACACATATTGTCTACATGTAAAGACATGATATTCATGTATAGATTCAAATGAAAAAGATGTTGCACTGAACTTTTAATATATCAATTCTAAGTGCTTATTACAGTCAGATTTCCTGAAGTCCAGTCTTGATTTCCTAACAGTAAAACCTTCCTAGGGATTGTAACAGGCTTATAATTGGAAATATTCAAGTACCTGAAACAACCTCAGAAGCTTTGACATTTGTAGCAGATAATAGCTCAAATATAAGGGTAAAAACTGATTATTCATTTTTGAAATATATACAGGAACCTTCCAAATCAATCACACAATCCATCATATTTCAGCCTGGACTCTTAATCTTCTTGTAAATATAGGGCCTGAAAGAGATGAACCATCTTAATCAGATCTTTCCTCCATCACAAAATTACTACTGTCACTGGCACTGACACAAAAATGACTAATTTCAGCTAGAATCTGTAATAACTACTAAAATAAGGTTATATTGCCCACCAAATACATACACAATGTAAAAGTCCTATTTGTAGGAAATGTAAGTAATTAACTGACTACCCATAAAATCAGTAAATCACTAATTCCTATGGCGAAGCTGCCAAAGACACTCCACCACCTCCAGCACCTATTACCACAACCACATCTGTCAATTTTTGGGTGACTCTTAACAAAGAGAAAAAAAGACACATATCACCCCTAGAAGCTTTATGAGACGACAGATGGAGTAGTTGCCAATTCCCCCTAAAACATCAACTGGGAAAAAACTGCATTACTACTTCTCAAAAAGACTTGTTTCCATTTGGATGTTTGTATTTGGAAGAGTCCAGAAAAAAGAATCTGAAACATAACTGAAGAGAAACTATGCAGAGCCTTCCCCAAAACTCAGTATGTTCACAAAGGAGGCACTAAGAAAAATCACAGAAGTGAGGCCACAACCTACAACTGACTGCTCATCTGTCATTCATTAAACAATGCTGGTCATGGGGGAAGAGAATCAAAACTGAAAGCTTCCAGAAAGACTTCCTCTCAAATGAAAACTGCAAGTAAGAGGCACATTTCATTGAAGTGAACTGTAAAAATGAACTGTATGAAACAATATTTGTAAAATAGCACTTCCAAACACTCCTCAAAACTATTAAAAACTCAAAAGTTTTTCTTCTGAAAATCTAGATGGAAAGAAAGGAGATTGAAGTTACAAAAGATGAATTTTGTACAACATGCAAAAGCAAGTATGTCCTCATATTTGACAACCATTTCAGATTTTTAAACCAAGTATCTTTTTTTCCCTGTTACAAAGGCAAATTTGCAAGCTGACAATTTTAACATTAACCTCTCACATCAGAAAATATTTGGGCTATTTCCTAATGTTTTCTAAAACCAGAAAAAGACATCAAGATCACACTAAATATTCTAAATGTTGCAACCACCAAGTCTTCACAGTTTACAATGATGCCTAATTAAAGGTTTTCTTTAGTGACATTTTTTCAAGAATGTCACTAAAAAGATTTGCAACGAACATGTGACATGTTAACAGCAAACTGCAAAATATACATCGATTTCCTTAGCTGCCTTACATATCAAAGCTCTGGTGTCTCATGTTTACCATATCAAATGTAAAGGCTTCCTTTGATTTTCCTCAAGAATTAAATATTACAGTTATTTTTATTAAGCATACTACTACTACTACTTCATTAGAAAGCAGAAGACATAAGAGTTTCATACCAAGAAGTTTGAACCCAAGGAAGCTGTTACACAGGCCGGAAAAGTTTTGCTGCTTGTCATCTTGGAATAGCATGAGGCTTCCAATGACCTTCCTTGTACCACGAATCCAATTTATGGAGATAGAAATCTCACATCTGTACCTCGACATATTGGGAGGTACATTACAGTGATATAAAAGTTTAATTTTCTCTCCTAAACCATACCTGTTTAAACCAATAAAGAACTAACACCGCTTTTACTCACTCAAGTGTCGTCAGTAGTTATAAAACGTTGTACTGTTTATGCAGAATTCATTTAGAATGCAAGGATGTGACTTACAAATGTCTTTGACTCATTCACATAAATATGCATGCATGCCATTTATAACAGTAGCCTTGATGAGAACACACAGTGTAACTGGCTGCAAGAAACGCTTAAGAGGTTTACATTAAAACAGAATATAGAACGGTGGTTAGAAATCACAGAACAGGTGACACCTTACTCTGATAACCTGGTGATAAAAACTGTAGGGTATGATGTATAGGTTGTGGCGTTACCACTTTACTATACAGTCTGAACAGTATTCTTCAGATACTTCTCAGTTTTAGCAAGACATAATACCCAAGGCAGACCACCTATAAAAAATGTGATTAATCTCCCCCAAAAATTGTGATTGCCTCCTAAACCGTTCACTTAAAACCAAAGACATTTAAACTTTACTTTGTATTAGATTGTTTGTAATACTAACCTTTTAAAGGTATAATTACTTCTTGGTTTGACAGAGTAATTTGCCTCAACTATTAAAATACCGCCCTTACTAGAAGACTTAGAATTGAGCAAAAAAACCTTCAAATACAGCAATCAATGGACACCAATGGAAGGCTCAGGTAATCTGAGGAATTCCTGTGATCATGGAATGCTTTTCTGATAAGAATATTTATAAGACTTCTAGACATCACTATTGCTAACTCTTGAAATACGTTGCTGGTACAGATCAGAAAATTAATGTGCTGGCTATTAAACAAAATAAAGCCAAAGGGCTTTCAAGAATGCAAGAAAAAATTATATTGGGAAGGATCAACAGTGGAAAAACGTAACTAAAATACTAATTTCAACTTTAATTATTAAATTCACTTTTTTCCCCAGGTATGTGAAACCAAACTGCAAAACTTATGCTAATAGAACAGCTCTGATAATATTTTGATTTATTAATCTCTTGGTCACATACAGATACTTGGTCCCACATGAAGTCCTATAAAAACAGAAAGACATCCATGAAGTCTACAAACACAAGTTCTACTGCAGGACTGTGTCCAGAGTACGTACTTAAACTCTTGTTCACAAATTGTCCGTCCAGACATCTACTTATGTAGGTCCACATTTTTAAAAATCTCCATATAAGTACAGTTTAATGTACAGATGAAAGGCTATTGACAAAAGATGTTACCAAATAACATTTCTATTCAATGTAGTACAGAACACTGCCTGGCTGTCTAATGAACTAATGGAAACATTAGGTAATCTACATATATACATCATGCAGGACAATTGCATGTGGCCTTCATTAGTTGCTACAGCCAAATAAGACTTTGCACAACAGCTGCTGGTGCCAACCAGGTACTTTATAGATACCTTCCATGAACTAAGATAATTATTCCAGAATGTTTCTGTTGACATATAGTTGCATCCATCCTATATACTGCCGAATAGGCTCTAACTAGTAATTTAATTACTAGCAGTAATTTAGATACTGTTAGAGAGAAGAAAATCAGAATCTATCATACAGACAAGACAGGAAGATAATGTCCAACAGCGTGCTGCAAACCAGAATTTCTTAATAGTAGCACACATGTAAAAACAGAACATGTCCACCAAGAAAAAACATAGCAGGTAAGACTCTGCACTGATATTTAAACAAATAATATACAAATATATCACTCAGACAACAAAATGGCCTTACCATGCAATACTGCTTTTTTAAATAGAGCTAATGTTTACTTCAGACCTACAGGTTACTACATTAAAAACCCACATAGAACAGATGGAAAGGCTGCTTGCCAGCAAAAGAAAAAGATTAAAAAAAACGCCTCAGCCTTTTAAAAGCCAGTTGAACCGATGGAAACAACTGAAAATTAAAACCGCCCACCCTCTGCACATGTATTCTTGATGGTCCCCAAAAGCATCCATCAACAACTCCTCTGCTAGAACTACGATCCCTAGTGCACCTCAGGAGTCACAGTAAAGACTACATTATCATTGCCCACAGTTCAGCTGAAGGGGTTGAAGTGGATGTTGTTTTATCCTGGAATCAATAGAGTTTTTTTGGTTTAATTACTTTCTAGGGCTCTAGTAGTGGAGAACATATGGCTGCTGTTTAAGATGTGAGAATGTAAAACTGCAGCCTGTATATGGCTTGGTGTAACAGGGCTTCACAATATCTTATCTGCTGTTTAAGTCATAAGTGGAAGCTGCTGGGTCTATACAGATCTATAAAATGATGCCAAGCGAATAAGGACATTATTTCACGGCAGTTACCCTGTTTGTGTAAGTCTGTGATGTAACAAAGGTGAAAGAATTACGTATTTTTTAAAATTTAATAATAAATTGGGACATGTGGCACGATTTTGCTTCTTTCAGAAAAATCCAGTTCATTATTAAATATCCATCGAGGAGTGGTAGACGCACTCCCAGAATTAATTAGTAACACAAACTGAAAATATGTTTCCTCCTGTAACTTCAGGAAGACTAAAATACGAATTTTCTCAGCCTTCCAAAATGCTCAGTCATCCTTTTGGACAGACATCACTCCAAGCCTCCTCTGTCAGTTTGAGGAAGGGATAGCTACGTATGAGTTCAATTATCTCATATAAGTACTAGGAACTAAGCACTTGTAATATAATGAAAAGTGCTTTAAATATTAGAGGAGCATAATTTCCAATATTTTTTTTTTCTTTTGCGGGGGGTGTGTGTGTGTGCAGAATTTCATAGCCATCAAAAATGTAAAGCAACAAAAACCAACATGAAATTGTTAACAAGGTAATATCAATCAGCATTAGGTTACCAAGGATTTCCTTTTTGGAAGATACGTGTTAGAAAAGTGAAGCTTACCTGCAGAAACACTGTGGGATCTCTCCTTGACCATACAGAGGAAACAGAAATGGTGTATTGCCATAGCGGCCAAGGCACTGAAGAAATTTTTTTGTTGCCTGAAGACCTTCAAGAGTGCTGCTATCAGTCTCTGAAACCATTGCAATAGAGTGAAGAATGAAGTGCTGCAAGCTGGGTGTTAACTTCTGTGTTCTTAAGAACTGAGCAAATGTACTGTTCTCGTAGTCTGAGGAAAAAATAAATTTAGGTGAAGTGTACAGTACAATATTTGTGTTTTCCCACGTGCTTCAACTTAAACCAAGTACTTTTGTACTTAAATAAACAAAACCAATTGAGTTTTTCAACAAACACCTTGATGAAAATGGATAATCCAATTCAATGAAAGTTAAGAATTGTACTCCCAGAAAGCAAGTCTTTGCAGAAGACAGAAATATCACTCCACTAAAATATTTCAAAATAATGCAAACCCATTGTATGGGCTTCCAACAATCTCGAAAGCAACCTTTAAATATGCGTTCATCTATTCATTATGTTAGACTTGATCTAAAACCATTTCTCAGTCACATGAGAAAAGTGAACAACTATGCACCAAAAATCCATTGCAGTGCCTCAGGATGCTAGTTCCTGTAAATTACCCAAAATACCATACCTGAATGACACCCATTCAAGAACAGCACTGCTGAATCTGTACTGATATGGGTCGAGTGTATATTTACGCACAGAGAAGCCATTCACTTAGTGTCTTAATCCAAAGATGAGAAGGTACACCAATAGTTTCTAAATGATGACTTGCTCACAGCAAACAAGTCCCCCATCGGATGGGACACAAAGACAAAGAGGAGAAAGCATATCTCCCTTAGAAATTATTACTACTGCTAACACATTTTGAAATTCAAAGAAACACAGGTCTTTCAGGAGATGTTTAATGCAACTAAATGCAACTAAAGTTTTTCAGCAGTATCCTAACTATAGGATTTTTTTTTCTGTAGGAAAAGACTGTATTTAAGCAACAGCATACTTTCATACTATTCAGAAACCTGCTCTTAAGCTTACTCCAGCCATGGATAAATACATAGGTAATTCAGAAACACTTCCATCAGTGCTGAGACTAGTATTATCAAGCTATATAATTCTGTTCAAGATTCAACCACTGTTTTATTACAAATGAATCTTACTACCCTTTGTACAGCCATGCATCAAGTCATATAATGACAGGGGTTTTTTGTTTTATCATTCTAAAAAATATTTCACTCTTCTCCTCACTTCAGACTTCTTACATAACTCCAAATTTTACAGAAAAAAGCTTTAAAAAAAATTCTTCACTATCATGAAGTCTCCCTATTAAAAGTCTGCCTTCCCACGAATGTAGTGATCTCACCAAGAGCAATTTTAAATTTCTGAAGTCTTTACATTAGCCTAATCTCACTCAAAATATTCTGAATTACTTCCCAGGCTATTTTAAAATGTAGGAACAAAATCTGTTTAACTATCTGGGGAAGTAAAATAAATCTAATGTCATTTACGTACATGAATCAATGGATTCATTTAAAAATTGATGTGGCGTCTCTTTTTTACTTAATAAATTTTCTAAAGACCACCTATATTCTCACTCTGAGCACCTCCATTTCTCCCAGCAGCAGCAAACTGGAATTACCTGTAATCTATAAACTACTTCAGTCCAATGAGTTTTTCCCCCTTCAGGATTTTCTGGAGTTCATTACAGACCTTCTTTCTCCTAATCTTACCAGATCACTCTCGATACTGACCAAATCTCTCTTGCACGTGTTTGTACCTAATCTAAGGGTTTTGTTCAAGTAATCAAACCAGTATCTTAACAATTGTTTCTTGCTAACACTAGATTCTTTCAAAATACTGCCTAGCCAGGCTACTGTCAAGCTACAAAAGCACTGATATGCTTCAGTTTGAAACTCATGTCAATAGTTTAACTATTCCTCTTTCCTCATTATTTCTACTTGGCAGATTTTTCTTTTTTTGCCTTAGTTTACTTTTAGACTCCAAGAACTGAGAACATCACTTCATTCTTTGTACCCTGAGGTGCATAAACCCAAAGCACCTTCCTTCTGTTAGCCAATTTTCCTCTTTGACCTGATGCTCATTATTCTTCACACATTATGGCTCCAATCTATTCAGATTTTCTCTCATCTAAATAAGCCAACAGTTGATAAAGACACTTTGAACTTGCCCTCTACAATTAAAAGGCATTAAATTACATTTACTTTCAAAGTTAAAAAATACAATTTTCTCTATTTCTGATTTTGTGGCAATATATTGTGAAGATTTACATATCCAAGAAAGAAGAAAAATGATATACACCACACAATATTAAAAAATGCCTGAGAGGGTGGAGGAAACACCTAAAAATGATACAAACATTTTGCAACCTTCCTGTAATATATAATTTTGCCGTTAAAGAAAAATGTAAATAATAAATGATGTGGGAACTAGAAGAGCAAGTGCTTAAATAGAAGAATTTAACATTGAAGTGAAAAGGTCACAAAAAGGTCAAAACATACTTTGAAAATTAATCCATAAAAATAAATTGCGTGAAAACACAGGAGAGCTATCAAAATTGTGCATAACTGAACGAACTCATAGGAAGAGAGTGTACACTGTTCAATGAAACACTACCTTGGTATTCATCAGGGTGTTGTTCATATTCCAAACAAAATGTCAGAAATTTCATTAGCATTCTCTTTTCTACCATAGTGAGCTGTCTGCTGTTGAAGACATCTGCTCTAGAACAAGGTACCTAGAAAATATTTTTTAATAGTTTCAGACACTTTCCATAGTCTGGATGTGAAAAGCACAAAGCAACACTACAGTCTGCTTACCTAACAAATATTTTAAATTACTTTTTTTATTATAGTTATTTTCTTACATATTGCTTTCCATTATTTTCTATTATAACTACACAAAAATATTTTAAAATTTTTTCAGCCTCTTCCCCTTTTTATTTCCCTTGCATCTCTAACTACAGAATTAATCAGAAGAGTTTTTATTAATTAACTGTGCCCAAAATCTCCTGTTGCCATTATCACACCATCTACTTTCCCTGTAAGTAGCAGAGATGCAAATCAAGTCTATGCTACAAATATGAAAACTTAAAACCTGTGAATCTTTAAGAATTAACTGCCAAAGCAACCATGGTTAAATATTTGACATGAGACAAAGATTTCTGTCAATAATTTACTGGACTGGACATTCTCATTTTATAAATTTGGGAGGATTTTTAATAAAAGCCAACACATAGAAATGCCTTTTCATTTCAGAAATTAAGGAAAATTGAGGAAAATTTAAAAATTAAGGAAAATTAAATTAAGGAAAAATACTAGCTTATTGTCACAAAACTCTCAAGGAACCAATTTCAAGTTTGACTTGAAAAAGATGAGATGTAATTTTATTTTACGATACCTGTTCTACTTTTCCTTCTCGAAAGGCAAGAATTCGTGTTGCGTTTTTAAACTCTGCATATCTGCTAACGTTCGATTTGATCAGAAGGTCAATTAACAGACCTCGGGCGTAAAGCAACTGCACAGTGAAGAAGAAAACAAAACAGTGAGTAAAGAGAAAGTGCTTACAGCAAAAGAAACCAGTGATACAACAGTATCCATTTGTAAGGTGTTTTCTATGACTATTTACAAGTACACATAGTGAAGTAACATATGAATAAACGAATATCAAGACACAGTATGTGCAAAATAATATTAAATGAACTGAAGTGACCATAGAGGAGGAGACAAAGCACAGGAGAGAAAGAGAGAAGGTGTCAGCCTAATGCTCATTTAATTTTATTAGTCTGGGAGTCATAACTTGAGACAATTTTTTTCATTTTCATCTTGCATAATTTCTTTGCACTGTATGCTACATATCCTTGAACACCGTATTTTACAACCTTCACTTCCCCATATCAGTAAAGCACATGATGCTGTTTAAATCATTGCTACTTGTTTCTTAACTTACCTGAAATGATAATGTAGTATTTTCTAAAGGTAAATTTCTTAAACCCCTTGTTAAGGCTTAGTCATATTCTGTTACATTAATTTATTATCTGTGTACCTTTACTCTTTTCTATAAGCTACAAATATGTTACGAAATATTGAAGGTACAGAAATACAACTATTAACTGAAGACAGATACCTGAATTGAAAAGCACTGGAGATTAGTTTAAACAAGCTTCGAGCGTTGTGGCCCAGAGTAACAGAATTTGCATGATCACATAGCAATTTTCAAGATAAAGGTTTACTGGAACACTAAGGAGGACACTACAAGAAATCCCTGTCCCAGTGTCAGAGAGAAACCAACACAAACTACTAGTCTTGCCCTGATGACTAATCTTCTTCAGAATTCCTAGAATTCGTTGCAATTAACACCATGTAACAGAATGGCAGAAAAAAAGGATAAAAAAGGTACAAACCAGTATTATCTGCTTAACCACTATTCCCTGGCTATTATTTCCATGTCAAGAGGTATCTACTCAGAGACAAAATTTGAAGTAACGCCTTCTGTAGTGTCTACATAAAAATAGTAGAAAATTAATGAAGACAGGGTTTTTTTTTCCAGTTTCCAGAGGTTTTAAGAATCTTTTCATGCAGAATATGAAAAATTAATCATTGAACTTTGAAAAAACTTCTCATTGCAGAGTACTCATGTAGTCTAAGGCACAGAAGTTAAAAATTTCCATTTAACTTGAATTTGCAGGGCCATATCCATATACTGTGAAGTACATAAAAGGCAGATTTTAAACAGTATGACAAATATGTCAGGCTAATAGCTTTTCCTCCAAATAGAATGCACACCAGTAGGAATTCAACACAGTAATAATGAATTTTAGTCAGCTTTTATGTTATGGATTAACTCTAATTATTTTTTATTTCCAATAAAATTTATTACAATTCAGGGCTTTAGGCTGCGTATAGAGAGACAATGCAAGTTTCACAGGAAGATCTAAAACCTAGGAAGCATTCCAATAGGAAAATTATTTTTCATTTTAAAAACATCAAAGATCTGCATGTAGATTGATTTTCCTTGTTTAATTTTTTTTTTTAATGGTACTATTTAAAAAGAGCAATTTTGCAGGTAATAATAACTACTAAATTTCAGGAAATTTACTTTTATGGACATATTTCTAAGCTATGTTTTACGGTCTCTTTGGTAATAAACAAACAATGGAGAGCACATACGAACTAGCTCTTGTAAGGGTACTAATTCTTGTTTACATCTCGAGCGGGTTTTTTGCCTTAAATGTATTGTGTCAGCCCTCCTCAACATTAAAAGATTTTTTTTTTTAAATTTCAGCATTTTAAGCAAAATAAATGTATTTATATGAAGATAATTATTTAGTTCCTACCTTGGAAACTAAATCAATATTAAACCTTCTGCCTTCTCTAACAATTTGGGAATACGTAATTTTCTTTGGTTCTTGGGCAGAAATTTCTGAGGGTGCCACTTCAGTCTTTCCCAATTCCAGAGCAGGCTCTCCTGAAGCTGTACTAGGAGAACTCTCATTCTCAGAGGTTATGTCTGCATCACGCCCTTCCGTTGCACTTGCTGGCTCCGTGCCTGCAGCCTTGTCTGGCTCCTGGTTCTCAGCCTCCAGCAAGGCACTCTCCACTGGTGGGCACTCCTTCTCCGGTTCCTGAGCAACCCCCTCAACACCAGGGGCTCCAAAGACAGGCATCTTTGGCAATGCACCAGCTTCTTCAACATCTTCAGCTGAATCCTGACTGATAAAAACACAAGGGGAAGAAGGGGGGGTGGGGGGGTGGATTAAAGAGTCTTAAAAACTCGTTTAAACTTTTGAGTTAATGGCAGAATGAGAACCTCAAGCGTTTCCATGAAAAGCATTAGAATTTCTTTATCTTGGCCAAATCAGGTGTACCACCCACTAAGGAATTCTGGTTCTTTAACTGCAAAGTTATAATTCAAGAGGAGTATTATTTACTGAGGAGAGAAAAAAATCCAAAATAACCAACCACAAAAAATGGGCTTCTTATTTTACACAAACTCAAAAGATAGAATGAACGTAAAATGAAAACTAAACCTCTCATGGTGAAACAAAATACACAGCTACATAAAGAAAGGAAACAATATTTTTAAAAAGAAACAGTAAAGTAATTTGATTAGGTTTTTCCTATGGATTAAAAAACTACTTCGAAATCAAAATGCAAAAATGCAGTAAAGTCATTAAGCTCAGATATTTAAAAAGCCAAAACCACTGAAGAAAACAAAAGTGCTTCATAGGACTACTTTGCATCTATCATCCCAGCAAACCCTCAAGAGAAGCATGCAATTTTGACCTGAAGTTTAAGTAAAACTTTCAGATTACTTTTTCAACTCTGACCTTGCATTCTAATTAGTTGTTCAAGTAACAGCCATACAGAACAAAGCCCTCTCATGTAGCAATGTTATTTTTATGCAAGCGTTACAAATTTGTGCATAGAAGATGAAGGCAGTCAGTCCAAAGGAAGGACATTACCACACCACATTTACTCTATATAGTCTGTTTCTGTTTCACTACACAATTCTTTAAAATTCCTCTTATAAAGCATACCTCCACTTTTAATCTCATCTCCTCTTTTTATCTTGGAACTTCAATGACATTACCTTAGAAACTAGTACTTTTGAACTTTGAATTTTAGTTTATACTACCAGCTGAGATGAATTAAATCAATGTCATTGTAAGTGAAAGGAGTTCAGCAGTAATTTCACACTATCTTTTTTATCTTCATACCAGAAGCCATTAATGCACTGAATAAACAATTTTCTCTTTGCTGAAAACTAATGAACTATGATTTTAAAAGTGACCTGCAAATGTACAGAATAAAATTTCAATAACTAACAGGATGGTTAAAATTCACTGAACAGCAAGGAATTATTCAGTATATGTCTAAAGATATTCCCTCACACATCTGTAGCCCTACAGATGGAAGCAGGGGGCAGGATTTCTGTTAAAAGAGGGAACAAAAACCCTGTATCCTTTAAAAATTGCTCCTCACTTATGAACTCAGGAAGCTCACAAGGGCTCATGAAAATAAGAGTTTGGAGTAAGTCTCTTGGCTTGTACACAGCCACCAGGAAGCACTTACTCATGAATGGGGTAAAATATTGCCCTGGGAAACACAGGAACTGCTATAAGGAAGCACTAATGAAAGAAGTCTGTTTCTGTACATTAATTATGTCTTTCTGCTTCATACTGCAAGCATTAAGTAACTATAAAGTATCACAGAAAGATAAGTACTTCAATTTTTTTTTTAAAGTAATCTCTACAAAAAATAAAAATGAAAGTCATTTAAATGTTGGAGTTCTGTTTGGCTTTTAGGGTTTTCTTTAGAAATTTGGAACATGGTGTTTGTGAAAACTGCTAAAGTTGTTGCCATTAATGCTGTAACTAAGAATGAAGCTTTTAGTTAACCCATCCTAAAGCTTTTTATAACATAACTGAATAAATTCAGAGGCAAGTTTTCTTTCTACCTTCTCCCAAAATAAATGTGCGGTTAAATCTCATTTTAAACATACTTATTACTTTTTAAATCCAAGTAAAATTTAGATTCACAATACACTGTGGTTTTTCAGTATCACTCTGAAAAGCAGTATAACAGAAACGTTATATTATTTATATTTCAAATCTCTGTTCAATTCCCACTAATGAATTCATAAATCTGCATGATTTGCAGCACTACACATTTTATAATGAAAGCCTAAAAACTGTATATAATCTGAATTCATGACATCCTTCCTATAGGAACAAATATCCCTGAATAATGTAAGAACTGTCTATAAAAATGACTCAAATTGAACTTCTGTACAGACAATTCTTCTCCTAATTCAGAAAAAAATAATACATCTGCAGACAAATTGTTGTGTAAATTTAGAATATTATCTTCCACCATTCATCAATTAATGGTACTAACAAAGGAATATCTTAAAATGAATGTGTCTTATTAATGCCTTGTAACAGCAACCCCTTCAGATAGGTCAAATGAAAAATTGCCAACCAGCTGGTTAATTTATTCAGCACAGGTGTTCACTATTTATTTTTCAGCCATTTGCCTTTTTTCAATACAGCTTGTTGTAGACACAGTATTCTTTTCCTTTGATGGATGCACTTTGTTCTAAGGCCATTCATTTCAGATTTGCACTGTGTATATTATACTGCTACCCAGCTGTTTATTCTTTCAAAATAAATGTTTAATGGTTACTTCATAGGAGTTATAAAAGTTAAGCAAAAACAACAGAATCTAGCCAGAACGTGTAAATTGTCAGAAACAGAATAATTGACTCTCTCAGAAAGTTTTAAGTTATTTTGGAAAACTTTTTTTTTTGCTAGGTTTATTAATCTTACCATTCTTCCTTGTGGGTTTTTGGGTGATAATCAAGAGAGGCAGCATTGTACTGCCAGGCTAAGTTAAATGCTTAAAAGCAGAATCTTCTATTTTGTCCTGACTCAAGTATAATGCTCACTTCTATGAAGTGTGAAATCTTAGTGCTAGGGGACTCATTTCTGAGCCAGCCATCAGTCAGTATCACATCATCTTAGGAAAATCATACGTGAAGTTAAGAGACTATGAAACATCTTATCTGATTTAATACTGGTTCTGAACAATATTTATTATGGCAACAGGATTGCAATTACAATATTTAAGTGATATTATTTTAAAAGCATAACATTTTATCTGCAATACAGTCAGGCAGCCATTACTGTGCAATATAGAACTTTAGAATGTTCTGAGTCTGTGACCTTCAGACTGTATAATTCACACTTGTATTTCACTCTGTAAACATCATAGGTAGAGGAAAAAAGTTTCTATGTAAATATCTGACAACATTTTGTTTACCTACCTATGATATTATCTAAGGGATTCAAAGTTAAACTTACATAACTATCCCAAAGAACCATTCAGGAATTCAGAACAGTGTTCAGTTCAGTGTAACATCCAAAAGATAAAAAAGATAGATAAACAAACACAAAGATATAGTTCAGTTTTCAATTGTGGCCCATACAATTTCCACTCATTATTACTATGGTTACATGCTATTCAGCATTACTGTTTCACAACATTACTTTTAGACGTTCCTTGATTTTCAATATGGAACTGAAAAGCTTACCTTATATATAACAAAGTATCATACTTCCCTTTAAAAATCTAGACAAAAAAAGGAATTTCTATTCTTAACTTCCACTAATGTACACATACCTCTACAAATACCTAACTAAAAGATATTTACCACATATCAAGTCCTAAGATGGTAAACTATTCTTCATGTGCTTATGCAACAAACAGCCACAAAATTAAGTGTCTAATTCAAATTAAGTATGTATTTTTTGCATGTTGTATGTAAAGTAAAAGCTGAGTCACCTTAGTTCAAAAACAGAAAAAAGGTGATGGCCCAAAAAGGTTGTTATGAGATTACCAGGAGCCTCTGAGCATGCAGTTCCTTCTAAAGCATCCCGGGTAAGCACTGCTTAATGAGTAAGTTAAATCCACTGAGTATAAAAATCATTTTAGCACAATTAAATATTTTATAGTTACAGTACTGCTGTCCATTTGTGTTCCTAATCTCGTGTACTTATTTCATTTTACATGTACTTATGAGTTTAATTTTTTACTATGAGAATAGCAGCTTTTAGCCAAATTATTAATGGAAAGAATTAATAGATGGCAGTGCATAACTACCTTCTAATATGTAGAACTACAACACTTCTGTTTTCTACTCAGAAGTAAATTACCCACTCACAAAGTTGGTCAACAAATCATACTGTATGCAGATCAAGTCATCTAAAAGATCTTTAACTTCAATAAAGTGCAAGTGATTTCAACAACAGCACAAGGACATTAAGAACATTTTAGGTCGTGGTTACTTTTTAAGACATCATGCAATATGGTAGCCTGGTGAAATGCTTGAAGCCAAAAGCACAATCTTATTACTTGCCTCTGGGCATGTAAAATTGTGTATTTCTACATTTATACCTACTCGCCAAAACAGAAATCTTCGACATGTTGAATAGTTTTATCCTTCTTGCTAATAGGAATAACTTCTTCATTCTCCAGGATCAGTTTTTTCCAGTCTTCACATTCATCGGTATCTGTCTTTTGCTTACAAAGAACAAATACAGAATTACATTTTGTACTGTGTTAGCGGCTCTTGAACTAGAAATCTCTGTAGTCCCAAATAATTTGTACCGTCTCATACTAAAAAAAGGAGAATTATCTTAACTGTCTTAAGGTTTTTTCTATTTAAATTTTTTGAGTTAAAACAGAGTTGGTTACTTCATCATAACATGCAAACATTTGTACTACATTACTAGCTCTAATAATCCGAAAATACAGGGTTAAATGAAATACAAGTTTTAGTAGAGAGTTGAACATAACTTTGAACACAATCTACTAAAAGACAGGTTTGCCACAGTCAGGTTAGTTCCAAATTTCATGACAAAACCCTTTGAACAGAGACCATATGATAAAAATACAGTGATTTGGGTATTATATTAATCTGTCCACACAGGAATATCTAAATCATATCACAGAAGCCTGAGAATATTAAATTCTGACATTGAGCAACTCCACTGATTATGCCAGAAGGTAGCACTATGTAATAAATAGGCATGAGCCTGAACTGAAAAAGTTCCATCTTCTACGGACCAACAAGCTCATAACGCTTCAGTAAATAATACGAACGTCCATTTGCTAATATAGTCCAAGTGCTCAATCTCCAAAATAAATATCCTCTTCCGAAGATTTCTAGTGGACTGTCATGAATTAGATAAACTTTGGTCATTGAAAAAATACACTATCAACATTCATCTTTTTGTCCTGGTTACAGGACGTTTCAATGGAAGGATCCACTAACTACCTTTCTCCCAGTTAAGAAGAATCAGCTGAAAGCACACAAGAAAAACAAAAGGTCCTGAAACACCAGAGAGTGGAAAATAATCAAACTGGAAATGGAAAAAAACAGATTATCATTTACAGAAGGTGCTGGGAAAGGAATCTAAACAACAGTGTAGTCGCTTCTACATAAATTCAAGAACCCAAAAAGTATGACTGAGCACTAGACTTTGGTCTCAGATAATACTATTAATAAACCAGGTATATCAGTCTTTGAATGCTAGGCCAGATGGTTAAGTCTTAACCAGTAAAGTTAGAAACTAGAAACCTCTTTCATCTGTTGAATTACCAAAGAGAAAGAACACTGTGGTAATTTGTCCTGTAGTATTATGCAACAAACCAAGATTTAACGTTAAGGAATGTTAAAAGAAGTCATTTGGGAAATTTTTACCTGATTTTCTTTAATCCAGGACAACAGTCCTGAAAAACTAAAGCTGGCCCAGTTTCCACCATAGTAATTTTTTCTGTAAAAAAAAAACAACCAAACAACCAGTGAATCTTGACGAACATATAAAACATAGCTTTTCCAGGTTAAAAGAAAAAACAATCAGGTTTGAGACACTCAAAATATTTCACTGCTGCAGAATATAAAAATAGGTATATTTACAGTTCTTAATGAGATGTACAATTTCCATTTTCACTCATTTCTATGCATTTCTGACCAAACAGACTATAGTCCAAAATCAAAGTATTTGGAGGGTAAAATGAGAATAATGCTGGGAAAAGCACATGGGATGCTCTGAGTAACAGGCAAATACAGATAATATTGTTTCTTGAAGACTGTTCTTCAAGACTTTACCTCAAACATGTACATCACTACAGACATTTCTACATAGTAGTCAAGCCAACAAGCCTGCCAGTTTCCAGAGTTCTCAGAAATGCCAGTTGAGTTTTTCTGCACCCTCACTCCACCGTTCCAGGTTCTGGCAGGACCCAACTGGTTTGTCACATGAGTACAGCTACACTGCTTCTGACCCAACCTGAGCACGAAGTTAACACAAGGGCATCTAACACAAGGGCACTGCATGCCTCTTCTAAACTAACAGTGCCTCATGCAGCGGCTATGCACAGGAGGGTTAAGTAAACTAAAATTGGGTCCAGACAGTAGAAACCACATCTCTCTTATCCATTATGTCCAATAAAGGAAAGCTCACTCTATTATTTATCAACCACTTACAGAACAGATTATGCTTATTATAGACTGTTAAAATGCTCTGGCAAAATTCTTATTAAACTGCATATACTGTAGGTGGAGCCACAGGAACTGATTTGTACAAAATGATCGTACCTCCCCGAGCACTTGCAGTTTATATTGACCACCTTCTTTCTTGAAAAATATGAGTTTACTTCTTGTAAATCACAGAAGATTAATAGTTCTGATGTTCATGAAAGAGTCTCTGCTCTCCCTTTTAAAAATTTTCCTATCAATATTTCTCTAAACATCCGTTAGATTAATTAGCTTCTGTTATCATGCACACCACATCTTAATTATTTAACAACACTTTACAGGAAAAATAATAGAACAATTACATTTTTTAAAAATCACTAGTTCTTGCAAAATAAAAGTTATTTCAGGATTTAATTCTATTTCTGGCACTGTATGATGGCACTTCAGAAGAGTGAAAGATACCAAAAATACCCTCCTGAATGGATATCTAATGTTATTGCATACACTAAAACCAAACCAAACAAACATTTAGAGAGGAAAGTGAGTTTTGCATTTTACAGAAAAACGCGCAGACAAATTAAATTAACTTAGAATCTTATCATAACCTCCTCCACTTTTAAATTGTAGCGATAAGTGTGATAAAAGTGAAAAATTAAACTCAGGTTTGATTCCACTGTTTAAGATGGGTTGTTTTTGACAAGGCTTATCTGTCCTGACAAAGACTTCATTCAGAGTGTCAGCCCCTTTACAGTACCCGGGGTGATGCTCTGTACCAGGTTGCTTACTTAGCATATGAAGGACAGATGTCTGCCAGACAATGCCTAATTGCTCCTGACTACAAACTGACCTAAAAAAGTCTTTCAGCTCCTGCAAGGCGATAGTGAAGAACATAAATAGGACATCTCTTGCAAAGACAACAAAATCCAGCCTTCACTGAATAAAGGTGGCCTCAACAACATAACACGGTGTTTAAGGCCCTGAACTGGGAGGACTGGAGCTGTACTTTAAGAGAACACACATAATCTACCCTGCAATTTGGTAATGCTAAGCAGAAGAGCTCCATCTAACAGATCTGCTACCAAGCAGTCATCTGTAAAAAGGAGCCCATACTTACTTCATGCTGCAAGTGACATGGGTGAGGCTTAAAAAGTACTGCTATTTGGTATCATATAGAATACAAACCAATAAGGATTAAAGGTATTACATATATTAAATATTCTGTAAGATTTCACTCTGTAAAACAGTAACTAATAGTTGTGTGCAATGATATCCTCCAGCTTTGCTTTAGCTGTCAATGGTGCAGGTTAATTTCTTGCTGCTTCTTAAGATTCCACCGAATAAGAAGTTCAATATCCATATATTATCTGCCACTTCTGGGATTTCCAAAAAACAGTCATGAAGATTTATTTTTAAGGGAATCTGCTGCTTTAGTTGCAAGTTTCCTTGAATATGGAATACAATCTGGCTGTCAGAGCAAGCAAGGCCAGTGATCACAGAAATCGCAGAAAACACCTGCCTAAAATTAGAAATAGGTTTTTTGAATCTATACCAATATAAATTCATGCATATTTAGAATATTTAAAATTAAAACTTTCAGTAAGAGAAATGAATGTGTTAGTTAAAGTTTATCCAGGAGCTGTCAGACATCTCTGATATAAACATTCCTCTGTTCATCAGGTGGATTTTCCTTTGAAACTACTTTTCTTTTAACCACCGTTGATGTGAATCAATCTTTTCAACAAAGCACTCTGTAAGGCTGTTCTGATGCTCAATCAGTTTTGAGAAGACAGTATGGCCTTTCTCAAATGGAAAATGAATCGCAGCTGTCCCTCCTTTCCTCTGGCATCTGAACACCTTTCCCAAGTTATGCTGTACCACTGCAAGTATTAATCTTCTACTGAGGCGCCAACTTCCAGATTTTTTTTTTCCTGGAATTTTAATTAGTTTACCCTGCATTACACGATGAATCGGGATTGCTTAATTTTGTCATCTGAAAACACTACAGAAAGAAGGTACACCAGACATGATTACTGGTATAATGAGCAAATAAAGTTTTTTGTAAAAATCTTGAAGAGGAAAAGAGCTGACTAATGGTTTTACAATTAGGAGTCCCTTGTAACCAAATATTTTTGTTACAATTGCCCTGAAGATGAACCGAGAAACTCCTTAAAGTAATGGTCAAGATCAAAGCCTAATTAAAGCTAAATTATTCTCTCAAAATCTCAAGAACTAAGCTCCTCTCTTCCCTTGCTATATTAGCAAACTCCCAAAAAAGGGAGAGATGGATATTCTCTCCCTTTTTTAGGTTTATTATTCAATTATCCTCTAAAAACATGAAACATTCTGAAGGTGTAACAGCAGAGTTAGAAATTAATTTTTCTAACAAGTTAGAGCACAGATATTTCCTTTTCTATCATACATTATTTCCTAGATGATATTGTTCAAAACTTCTCCTGATTACCTGGATTTTCATATGACTGAAAATACTGTTGCTTTTAGTTCAAATTTTCATTTCTTAAATCTGTAGTTCAGAGCCAATGGAAGAACTGCTGAAGTCATTTTTGTAAAGTTTTGGAAATGTTGCCCAAGTACAGTTTTAACTCTGCAAAAAGCTTATTTCTCTCTTCTCCTACATTGGTTTGGGGGTTCTTGTCTCAATTACTGTTTTTTCTTCAAATACTTGAAAAGAATTAGCAAATTCCAGCTCCAAACACTGAAATTGCAAACTGTTTCCAACTGATTAACATTCTTGGAATCCAAACCAAGAGAATATCTAACATGTCCTTTCAAAGACAGACTGCAATTTGAGAAATTGAACACTTCTGAAAGCACAAGATACACAAATAAAACGTAAGTAAAAACAGAGAAAGTATTTAATGGACTGTGCCTGCTAAGACGACTGTCCTTCTCAGTGCTATGTCATAACAGTCATGGTGTAACAGTCAAAGCTGGTGATGTCTAAAGAAAAGCTGCTGATGCCTCACGATTGTTCCCAAGAGCTGCCTGTATGTGTCTGTTCTGCATTTGATCTTTGAGAAAGAAGTCTCGAACCATCAGAGTAGCTGTCTTTTGCAAAGGAAGTTACTGCCACATCGATTTTAAGGATCTGAACACAAAATGACTTCTGTTTCAAACCCATAAAGTTTCATGTGCTACCTATTAAGTACACTGTCACATGTATTAAAAATTCCCATTCTGGCATAGTAATCATGCTTACGAGCATGAGGACTGGACTACACTTCCTCGCCTTCTAAGAGGAATGGTTTAACCCAAACAGTTCTTGAGATCCTTCAGCGTAATAAAAGGGTGATGGTGGCCAGCCACTTGCACTACGTTTTGTTGTACCTTGTGATATGAACATGACCAAAGGTAATTATCATGGACAGGTTGAGACCGTATTTTACTCTTAATACCTTCACTATGAGATCATATCCTACAACAATATAAAAATAAAACAAACTTTTTCAAAAAGGTCAAAAGATAGCACAATTAAGATATTTTTTTTTTTTGCCTAGGTTTCCTTACTGAAAGTTAAATAATTCCTTTCTTTTTCTTGGAAGAAGTTGAGAAGCAACCTTATCATTTTCTTGTTGCTGTACTTACACAGCTACCACTTCACAGAAGTTAAAGATCAAAGAGAAGGCTATGTGGAGACCAGGTTGTATTACATAAGTTCTGAAAAAAGTGAAACATTGTCTAGCAAGAAGTGGAACAAACTACAAAAGCAGGTATCTTGGAGGGGGGAGATACAGTGAGGGTGCCCACCAAGCTTTTGGACGCTCAGATAAAACAGAATTTTAGACACAAGGAACACTCAAGTACTCTACAGGCAAAGCTATGGTCAAAAAATAAGAGACAGGTGTCATGAAGCAAGACATGTGAAAAGGGCACAAAAGAGAAGCATCTTGACACCACTTTGCCTTTGAATTAAACTCTACATGGAAAGAGAAGTAAGTCAACAAAGAAGGACATAGACAATAAAACTACAGTCCACAAATGCTCTGTTCTAGTTGCCGATAATCAAAACCAAAACATAGGAAAGCATACCTCACCTCCAACCTCAGTAACCAAACTAGTACGGCAACTATGTAAGAAGCAAATAAGCAAAGGACCAAAAGTAGAAAACATAGCAAGCCATCAGGAGAAAGTCCTATGCATATGAACAATCAGTATGAGAAGTATTTTCAAGTAACCAACTTTTATTCTTGATCTACCTTTCTTAAGCAACTTCAAGTTCAAACTAAGTGCCAATCTCTACATTTTAAATTGCAAATTACTTTTCTAAATGACTTAACAAATATCCTTGAAATTTCACATGTCAACAGCTCATTAATACCTACAGTAAATGTAGCTCTCTGAAAAGAACCACAGATTTTACGTTTATTGAGACAGATAGCTGGCACAGAGAAATAGAGCTCCTTCAATTACTATTTGGCAGAAGCTAACTTTAGTTTAAAATCAGTCTACAGGAATTTATGGCAACACTGCAGTGAAGTGACTATTTTGAATAAGATTAGCTACTGTTGATGGCGATGCTTGGACAGTGTTTATAAATCAAACTTAGAACTTAGTATTTTATAATAGGCCACTTCAAAACTATCTTCCATAATCACCTATGCAGTACATTATGATAAATGCAAACATGGCTGCAGATTAAAAGTAATAAAATGATGTACACAAGGTAATGAGTGCAAGCAAACTATAAACAAAGAAAGACTTTAACCACATATGTTTTCTATACCTGGTGCCTAACTTAACTCAGACCTTTGTAGAGAACAAAAGATTAATCAAACTAGCACACCTAACTCAAACAAGTATTTCAGTAACACCAGATCTTATTTTCTTCTATTCTGAAAAAAATTTAAACTCATGATCTTTCAAGAAGAGAACAACATGCAATGTTAAAAAGTGGTATTCTAAATATAAACAGATTTTCCTGTTGATGAATTTTCTATTATACTGCTACCTCAGTAAACTGAAACTTGAAAACCCATCCAGAAATGAGTATATTAAACTAGACATACAATAGATAAGATGTTTTAATTCAGATGAATCTCTGGCAAGCTTTCTAAGACTTAACTTTTCACTTAAAATTCAAATGGCATCAGGGTGGGGGTTTTCCGTTGTTTTGGTAGGCTTTTTTTGCAAGTGTACTAACTTAAAACACAAAAAGCAGATGGCTTGAAATGCCTCCCTATTTATGGGGAAGGGGTTATACTGTATAAACATTTAATTTTTTTTTTTGCCAAGATATGAATTCTAGAACCTGATTCAGTGAGCACATACAGCAATTAAAATGACAACTATTAATATGAGTGAAGAACACATTGGTTAAGAACACCTTCCCCTGACCTTAGCCCGCACTAGAGATGGAAAATAACTCCACAAAAGAAAGGAATCTAATGTAGGAGCCTTCATTTTCATCATAAAAACAAAAGCATGTGTGAATGTAAATGAGCATATTTAAGTGAAAACAGAAATAAACAAAATCTGTATTCCACAGTTTTAATTGCCTGCTTCTGTGCGTTTTCCGAAAGGCTCTTCGTCACAGCTAAAAATAGGCATGGATAAAAGAAATCAAAGTTCCAGTGGCTATAACTATTATTACAGACTTTGATAGTCGATGAACAAGAAAAATGGAAATAACAGAAGTGGTTCATTTAACAAAATCTAAGTAGGCTACTGGTAATATATGCATTAAGCTTCAAATCCAAATGTAACTATTTTATTCATTCTATATTTGCTTATTCTAAAATAAGGTTTTTAATATTTTGGTTAGCAATCTAATAGCTAATTTAATAATTACTATACCCAAATGCTTGAAATTAACATACCCTTATACATTATGCATGATGTCTTTATAGTAACTCCAGTATCATTACTATGTGGTTACATAGTTCTTTAAAATTATTACAATCTTAAGAGCTGTCTTTGTTTCAAATGAATTAGTTACATTAAATATGGAGCATCAGGTACTGCCTTGCTGTGTACTACCCCACTGAGATGTAAAATACTAGAACATTAGCCCATTTGAGGATGTTTTTCCTTATAGTTTCTAGTTTTCTATAGGTTCTGAGAATAGTCCATAGTGCCTGAAGATTCATTAAGGTAAGTTCTTAAAGCAAATGCCTTCCTGTTGATAAAAACTACTCACTGAAGTGCATCACCTGTCCTCACTCCAGTCCAAGACAGGAAGCCAGAGACTTTGTGGGCAGTAAACAGCAAACTGAGCAATTGCAAATGCTATTTCATGCGACCAAGTTAGTGAGCTCGTCTTGCAAATTCTGCAGTTGTGTATTATTTCAAATTAGAAATAAATGTATGAAAAATGAATGCGTCCTTTGAAGGGCTGAGGCAAAAGAGGTTACAGAATTTTAATCTTGAACTGATGATGTTCAGGAGAGAAGGAAGAGCAGAAAGCATACCCTTTTTAAGCTCTTGGTGCAAGACACAGGAAAAACCAAAAACATGTATACTGTCTCTGGGAAAAGTCTCTAAACCTAGGTGCTGGTCACACAGGTGCATATCACAAGAATTTTCGCAGTTCAAAAATATGATGTAAAAATAAAACACTATGCCACCATTGTAATTTTTGGTGAACAAGTACTAACAGTCAAAGCATCTAAGCCCCCAGCACTCTTGCTGCTACCACCACCTCAAAACCACTTGTCACACTTCTCTGCCGAAATCCAGCAAGTATCAGCTAGAAAAGAGGTAACAGGTTGCCTGAAACTAGATTCCACACAGACTTTTTACTTGCTTTACATGATATTAAATATGTAAGATATTTTCTTTTCCCCCCAACTTCAGATCAAATTTTACCAAATTATCCACTTTGGTTGCATGCCTATTCATTTACCACAGCTGAAATACAGAAATTTGTTTAACCTTAGAGAATTATTATGCATTTTAGGCTACGACATCTAGCAGCAGCAGTAGTGCTTCTTAGGTAGTCATTGCTTCCTGCTTATGAATCTCTCCCTAAATCGTACTAGCCCAGCAAATTGCATAATTGCACAAACAATGGGACTGAAAAAGTAGCAAGGGGACAGGAGCCAGCTATAATCAAGATCAGTGGCAATGCTGCCACAAAATGAAAAAAAAAAAAACCCCAAACAACTGTATAATCATACCCTGAGCTCACATAAACTACAGCAGGCACAGTGTAGGTGTCTAGCACAGAAATCCCACAAAATACACTGCATTTGTTACCTTCCAGAAAAACACAAACAGTAAAGCAGGCTCAAAAGCTGCCTAGTAATGATCGACGATCTCAAAAGAGTTAAGAGAAAATTAAGAGTTTTAAAGTGCTAGATGGGAGAGAGGAGTATTTTAAGTTTACCTTGGTCAGCTGAGGCCCCAGCATTTGATCTCAAGCTTGCCTCAGAAACCAGAGCTCTAGATTTGAGTCATGCTACTAAATTTTGCTGAGCAGGTGTAAAAATAAACTCAGGTTCAAATATCTTAATTTTTAAAAAAATAACCAGTGTGCATAGTGTACAGTTACAAAGTTTATAAAAAAAAATTAACTTTGACTAGTTGGTAAAGAGAAGCAACATGAAGGTAACCTCTTCAAAGGATGTAATGAAATATGCTACTCCAAGTGCTTCAGCAAATCCTTCCGTTTCTAAGTGCAACAGAAGTACTTTTTGAATCAACTGATTTCAGTGGTACTCTGCACTCTTCTTACAAACTGGTTTAGCACGGGTTAGAGAGAAGACAGCAAACAAAAAGGACTACTGTGTTCATCTCCCCCCAACCTTAGCAGCCAAATTTCACTCATCTTCACTCTGATAATTAAAATGCAAAAATATTTGTATTAACTTCTCTAGGCATTGAGAACTGACATAAATGATACAGTCAAAAAAATGATTTTGCCATGAAATGATAATGGCTCAGGTAAAAAATTCTCACAAAACCAGAATGAGATAATTACTGTCAGGAATGATAATGAAGGGCACTAAACCTGTAACCATTCCTGTCTGTATGAAAGGAGCCGTCAACAGCGTCCTTGACCACATCACTTACGTTCAAAATTACTGAGCTAGCATGGAAAAACTGCCTGTTCTACTGATGGAAATAACACCCCAAAAATAAGGTAGACACAGAAGTGTAATATTACTTGATGCCAGATGAACACAAACAAATCCTGAAGGGCACGCTGACAGACACAAACATACTTCTAGCCAGTTTAACGCTTAAAAAGGAAAATTATTTGAGTAACTTACGAATCAACGTGAAGAACTCTCTGGCCACTTCTGGCACATGCTGCTGCAATAATAGATTCAGGCAAACCTGAAAGGACACATACAATTTTTAGAACTTAGTATGCTAAGATATATTAAAAAATAAATACTTGGTCAGAAAAAGGTAATTCAAACAAAATAAAGTTTATAATGTGAGTCACTGCATTTTAATACGCTCATGCTACTAAAATAACGAACACTATTTTGTGTTCATTAACATTTTGCTACAACCCTCTTGAACACAACACTTTTTTTGTAATAATTCTATCGCATGTCACCTGTAAACACTACAACTTCTGAATTAAAGCTTGTCAGAAGTGTCTTCTCTAAAGATGTTCTTACCATAGACAGACTGAGCACTTGCCAGCACAATGGTACCAAAATTTTAATGGGATGCTCTGTAACTGTACCTTTCCTGGCACAAACAGGTACTACCTGAGGGTATTTTTCTTTACTTCAAAGTGTTTGACATAAAGTGAAGACTGTGTTAACAACCCATTAAAATGATGTTTTAAAATTAAGAAATTTACGGTAAAGGCTGCATGCCGTCGTATATTGTCCAAGGATGCACTGAAAAGTGTGAGGGTATAAGCCTGTTAGGATGGCATGAAACAATCATGTACAGCAGACAAGAGTCCTGAACAGCACTGACTCCTCTGTATCATCTGTTAGCAAACACCTCTGGTGTGAACAGGTCTCAGAACTGTATTTGGACTTTGTTTCCAATCGAACTAACTGGTTTGCCCCCAAAGAGTGCCGGGAGGCATGCAGACCAAGACCTGAGTGTAAAGCTAAACTGCCAGCACATTAGGGACAGAAGGAACACAAGATGGTTGCCCTTTAAGTGGTATCCCTATCAAAATCTCCCATGTCATGCAGTAATGCTCTGTCCCATCAGTATACTTTCACTACATTTAGAAAAGATATGTAGTAAAAAAAAAAACAAAACAACAACAAAAAACAAACAAACCAAACAACAAAAGGCTAGTGGTATTTCTCTACCAGCAGTACCTGCTTGGAATGGCACATGATCCCAACTGGCAGTTTAATAAATAAATGAGGCCATTCTCTAACTTCTACTCCCACTCACCAGATTTTCACATGCCCACTTAGGTGACTTAGATTTCTGACTAGATTCAGAAAAGCAGCATAGCTCACTATCTAAAATGCTGTATAGCACTAGCTTGGGTGAAATCTCTTTTTAAGTGATTGATTGGCTATTTAAACAGGTAATTCAGTAAAAGCGATTAAAATTCTAAGGGACTGGTATTAGGAGACACTTAGGCTACATATTCAATTAAGGGATAAGATTAAACAAAGTGAAAGGAGTGTTTCACTGATCTGACTTACAGGGCAGTGGCAGAAGCAGCTGTACTAGTGACAATTAAAGAGAGACAGAACCACAAGTGGAAAAAGCAGGTGGTAGGGCACAAGCTCCGCTGGCTAGCTTCACACCAAGCATCACCTTCATGAGAATTTCAGGCCTGCAGTTGTCTGTTTCTTCAGAGAATGCTGCCTTCACAAATGAATAAAAGCTCAGCCTGTTGCCATGCTGATGGTTCATTTAAAACACAGAACCCAGTATGTTAAAGGTTACTGGACAAATGTTTACTACTTGTACGATACCAGTCTTCACTTAGCCAGTGTAAGAAGCTGCTAGCCTTTAATGGGATATTAAGAACAATTTAATACTTCCAGTGACAGGTACAGATAATTTTAAATGATTGAGCTATTACTAACTCTAAAACTTGAAATAAAAGTCTAGAAAACACCTAACGGGACTTGAGACACAGGAGACCATAGTTTCACAAACTCTTTAAGCCAGCAAAGGCAAATACAACCATCAAGATGAAAATACAACCTCTACCCTTATCTTCAGCCATTCCTGATCCCCTTCCACACGAAGCTGATGGTCAGTTTTTGGCAGAGCAGCTCCACAGTGGTGCTGACAGTCCAAAAGTACAAATGTTTATATCAGTATAAGGAAGGACATTTAAGACAGGCATGGCAAATTATCCAGGAAAATAGCTACAACTTCCCAGCAAACTGTCCATTTTTAAAGCTTAGTATTTTGATGGATTAAAAAAATTCCTGACTGCACTGATAGACAAAATTACAATATTTTTTTGCATTGCTGACCTGCCACAGCAAGTGAAGGCTTATCATGAAATTAATCTCCGAGGGTAGAAAGAGGGATGAACAATTGCATCAGTTCCTGGAACGTTTCACAACCTAAAGACCAATAGCCTAGAGTTGAATTTTTGGAAGAACTCAAAACACAGACCATTCTGAACAAAGAGACAAGGAGAAAATACGTAACTGCAGTACACACTTCAGGACTGTCACAAGATACTGGCTGCACACAGCTTTATTATGTAAAAGCAATTCCACATTCAGCTGTCCTCTGAAACTGTTTATATATGTTTCATTTCTCTCCATCTATAAACTATCTGGAATAGAATCTACAACTAGTGTTTTGTTTCTAGTTCCTGAAAAAGGTTTCCTCTCCTTCATTTGGGCACAGAGAATATTACTCTAGAAATGGAATTGAGAAACTTGTTTCTCCTTCCTTATTGATAAAAGCCACTGAGAAAGTGTTGTAAAACATGACCAGTGCTGCCCCGCTGACCAGGACTGGAGTTATAGCTACTAGGGCATAACTGATTGCTTTAAGCTTGATCCAATTGATACTGTGTTGGAGGTCTGTTCTTCCATTAACCTTGGATGAAATTGTTCCCCGAATTAGCTTCCTCGCTCTTGAAAGCGGGCATCAATTTTCTTCACCAACCCTTTGCTTGTAAGATACTGTGGCCCCCGGAGTACCCACTGGCAACAGAATGAGAAAGTGTAAGAAAGGCAAGGCCCATGCATTTTAGCTTTTGGAGAGGATCTTACAACAACTTGATGGAGCAAGACACCATATATTCTTAGGTGACAAAACCTCAGTAAACCAAAGAAATAACACTGTGCCTTGGCAAAAGATTCTGAATTCTCTTCTCCAACAGAAATAAAAGCACATGGAAAATAGGTGGCTTTGTCAAATTCAAGTTACTCCTCCATTTGATCTGTACTGCATGACGATTACTTTACAAAAGCCTTTGCCAAGAAAGGCTCTGGTAAACAGACCATTATAATATAGTTATAGATAGTTGCTCTCTGCCTAAGAAAAAAAAACTAACTCGGAAAAGTCTCCTCAGAGAAATGGTGGAGATTTATTTAATGACAGCATGTGAAGGTGAACTTTCTCCTACCGGATGCTCACAGAGCTGTGAAAAATAGGTTCCCTTCAGATTATTCAATAACAGAGAACTATATTTTTTTTTTATTAATTGATCCTATTTGGAAACAGTTTCCTATTCTGAACTGTGATTAGTCAAAAACTCTAAACTGGATTATATTCAGGTTTTGAAATGCATTCAGACCCTAGCCACAGGGTAGAGCAGACTCCAAAACTCCTTACTCACGGTTTGGTTTGAAGATTATGATTTACTACAGAATTCAAGTGATTGCAGGGGAAAGGCTGTATTCCCAATATTGATTCTTAAGTTTCACTTATGCCTAATGATTAAATACAGCTGAGTACCTCTAAAATGATTTCCTCATGAAGGATTATTCTAACACTTCCTGCCACGCATGCTTCTTGGGGAACAGTCAGCTTCCAATTTTGCCAGTTTAAGGGATGAAGGACATAGCACTAGAACCTGTGTCACTCATTAAGTTTAATGTTTTTGAACAAGCAGTTGAGTAGTGATGTGGATCCAATAATTTGCATCAAAGAACAGCAAGATCTAAGTGAGAATCTACATTGCCTTTCAGATAAAAAAAAATAAAAATAAGACTGTACTGCTATCAAAATCAATAATCTAATTACTGAATCAAGAAATCTGCCCTCTGGCATAATTAATAGTAACAAATATTTTCCTACTAAGTTTTATACATATTAGTTACTGTGAAACACAGTAGATACCTGATTTTACTGTATCTGAAATGAAAAGGACTACTTCAAAAGAGCGTTTTCTCAAGTAAGGTTTCAAATACAGACAATTTTTAGATTTGCAACGGTATTAGCAGGAAATAAGTCTGAATAGTAATCGCATGATCCAACCACAAGAAAGCAGCAACAGATCCAGACTTCAGTATGTTATACATAAACATCTGGCAGCATAAAAGGGATTTATGTAGAGAAATAAGGAGTCCATACAATTCTTGTATCAATTTAATATGCTGACTCAGAAGTTCTTCATATTTGAGGCAGAATCAATTCAGAAATAGCAGTGCTTGTTATCAAGAAGTATAAACACTCTCTGTGCTTCCTGGCCCTTTCATATCCAACTTTAGAATGCTTACACATGAAATATTTACATGATGTTAAATTGTCCTGAACCTCATTTCTCTTACCAGGAAAAACAAAGATAAAGAGTTTTCTTTCATGAAGGAGGACTGATTAGTACCAGTTAAAATCTGTATGATCTTAAAGCCATTGCCTTCTTTCTCCAATTACTAACCTCCATTTATCAGATGCAGTATTATGTAAATTAGCCTCTCTGGCCTTCTCAAGGAAAGGTTAATTTAAAATTTCAATGAAGTAGGACATCGTATCTGCAGACAGATATAAAAATAAGCACAAAATTGGAGATTTCACACAGAATCATCTAGGCTAGAAAGGACCCTGGAGATCATCTAGTCCAACCATTCGCCTAGCACAGTTCCCACCTACAGCATATCCTCAAGCTCTAAATCGACCCTACTCTTGAACACCTCCAGCGATGGGGACTCCACCACCTCCCTGGGCAGCCCATTCCAATGCCTAACAACTTGTTCTGTAAAGAAATGCTTCCTAATATCTAGTCTGAACTTTCTCCGGCACAACTCATTAATTCCACTCACTCACTCATCCACTAATTTCACTCATTAGTGATCTCTGGGTCACGAACAGGTTCTAACAGGTAGAATTTCATAGGTACTTCCTGTCCAGAAAGCGATGCATTCGCATGAATCCATGACACTGCCCCACTGAAATACAAACGCAAAGTCAAAGTGAACCAACTTCTAAGTCTTTCTAGTATTGGTCTGGGAAAAGTGCCCTGCTGTGTTTGGACTTCTTGCATCCTCTTGGAAAGATACTGAAAAAAATGGCAAGCAGATTCAACTGTAACAAGCTAGCTCCAATTAGACTAACAAATGGCTCACTTCAGTATGGAGCAGCTGAAGTTAGTCCTACGAATTTTCCTGTTTCTCCAGTTTTCTGTATAATGCATTGGAAACTGCTACAAGAGATTCCAGGACTACATCCAAAACAGTTGTAGCACCAGAATGCAGTAACCCAGCAAGCAGACAGTATAAACACTCAGTTCACAACCATCTTACGATGAAGAGTCCAGCCCACTTTTGATAGCAGTACTTGTCACCACCAGCTGTCAAAGCACTATCTCTAGCCTTCCTGGACACGTAAGAGGCAGATTTATCTCAATAAATCTTACAGATGTGGCTGCTGCAAGCTGACCTTGAAGTCTACATCTGGTTGTTTCCAGCAACCTCTGACCAAGATAATCTCCACTACGTGAATTTTTGGACCTTGTCTATGAAGCAAAATCAGCCATACTTTCATTTTCAAGAATATAAAGTGTTTTACAAGTAAATAAACAAAAAAATAGAGGAATTAGATACACATTATATACAGTTATCAAGATACCAATGCTATTTTCAGTTCCAACACAGCAAAATTAAAATTAGAGATAACTGCTAAGATAGAAAACTCTTCAGCTTTAGAAGTCAACTGCTTTTAAAAGCTTTACAAAATAATGAAAAGATATAATTCATCTCTGTGTAATCAAAAATTAATTTCAGGCCTACACATTCTGTGTATTCTAATTAGTGGCTATACATAATGCTATAATGATGCACTGCCTCTTCAAGTGACTTTAAATGGATACATTCACTGCCCCAAGCAATTTATAAACTAAACAGCTTCGTCTGTGTGGAAGCATTTTGGTTCCTGAGTTCTTCACTGTAAACTATTTTCCAGTCATCCAGCTGATAAGCTTTTACTGAATTACACAAGATTCATCTTGAAAAAGTCTAAATGTTTAATTTGCTTCACTGTATCTACTAAATAAATCACAAGTGGCTTTTTCATAATATAAAATGTTGAAGGGAAATATATTAAAAATGCTGGAACACAGACAATTTCAAAACAATCTTCTGGAGTCAGATAGTTGACCAGCTGCAATAAATTCTGTTTGTATCCGAACTTCTAAAAAGAGAAGAGCAGCTGACTCTGGAGAAGCTCACTACACAGTCTTCGTGGTATGTTTTGGGTATTTTATAATTTAATTGCAAATGAAGTTGAAATACTTATTGTATATAATATTTTAGGTTAAAGCTAGCTCATTAAAATTGATAGTAGGTTTGATTTATCTTATTATATGCTCTTATTGCAGAATAGTATCAGAAAATATTTCTGCATCACAGAATATGGTAGTGGCATAGAAATGACGATCCACTAAGACAAGTAAGAAAACTGGTCAAGGAAAGAGCCACAGGTAACAAGTTTCTTCTCCTGCATTAGTAATTCCATATAGTTATCTGTGCACCATCAGAGGAACATGGCAATGAAAAACACCGCATCTCATAGTTGGTGCAAATAAACATTACTTAGAAAAGGAACAGAAGCAGACACTTATGCTTCAAATAAAAATTTAACTTGTTACTAAAATTCATGCTCAAACCAAGCAGTGCTCCCTGAAGAGGAAAATAAATAAATAAATCACTAAATAAATAAAGAAATCAGTAAGAGGATGCACTTTCTGAATTTGGCTCCAAGTCATAACAGCCTAGAAAAATGAACATCAAAAGCATCAGAAAAATTAACATACATGAGATCTAGACAACAGCACGAATGCAACACAATTTTAGCTTATTAAACACTTATATAAAAATTGTATAACTGGATGAGTCACGTCTCTTGTGTGGTAAAGTTCTACTGCATCTAAACAGTTCACTCATGGAATGTCTACGACGCTGAATCAAGGTAACAGATTAAAAAAAAAGAGTAGTGCCCAATTTGGCAGACCACTTTTTGAACTACATACAGGTGAAAGCAGATTACTTCAAGGTGAAGAACTGGGAAGGAACAGCAGCAGCTTTACTTTTCGCAATGAGAGGGCTACCTTCCAGCAGAAGGGCAATTTTTGCAGAAATATCAAATTTGCGTACTTTTATATAAATAAATATTATCTGTACAAGTACATCCCTTGAAATCTCATCTATTAAAGAAGATGACAGGTAAAATCTAGAAGAGTCTTGGTGTCCGAAAAAAAAAAAATTGTGTTGAATAAAGAGGTTTGTAAGTGGATTTGTCTAGCACATACTACAGCTACGAGTCTAATCTCTGGTTTACAGATAAAGCAAACAAGCAGTAGATAAAGAAAAAGCAAAGTACATAAATTAAAAGATCTGTTTTGATTGAATTTTTTAATTTTTACCCAAGTCTGCTAATGCTTTCAATTCCTTTTCTGACTCCCTGCAGGAAGACAGCTTGCTCTCCTTGCTCCTTATACATTTTTAAACATTTCATAAAAAGAGATTTTAGAAGTTAAAAGTTTCTACTCCTACATTAGTAATTCTGTGTGCTCACAGAGGCTCTTACAAAACGCTCTGGTTGGCTCTAGCACAACCTCAGTGCACCAGGAGGGGTGACTTCTTGTAGGACTGAATTGCCAGCTTTACCACCACTCTCCAAACAGTGGAATGACATTTTCTACTGGGCACAGACAGACACGTCTTTTTGACTACCCTTGATTCAGCAAGGTACTTTGAAATTCTAGTCTAAGAATTTTTGTAGAGGCATTTTTCACCTTGATATGTAGATGACCTACTCTGTATTTTTCACAGCAGGATCACAGGAGTACTACAGTCTGCTATTTTCTAAAATCAGAAATATAATCTGGAAAACCCAAAGAACATTAATAGGCTGAGAAGGACAACAAAAGACTCACAAAATACTGAATTTTCTTACAAGAGCAGCAAGGGACATTTCACAGTATCTGGGAAAGAATCCTATCTGAGATTATCAGTGGGAGTCCAAGCCTCCAAGAAGGTTATCACAGCACCTCTGCTACGCAAAAAAAATCAGAATAGAACGCACGCCAGAAAACAACCCCTCAGTTTTAGTCAGATTAAAAAAAAAATAAATTCAATAAGAAGATAAAGGTATGTTTACATGTAGAGAATACTAAAAAAAGAAAGGGGGGGGGCAGGGGGGAAGAAAACTGACTCAGTGTTCATTTTGTCTGACATGGACAGGTAATGACTTATTTACAAATGATAATAATAATATGGGTCTATTG